AAGGTTGTTTTGATATTTTTTATAAATACACTGCCCAAATGTGCTCACAGGCGGCACAAAGATGCATTTTAAATTGATCATTTATACTTGTGTAYATGGATGAAGCATCTTTTAACAGCTAAATTCCAAACTAAGAGCAGAAATAAAGTAACATTTAACGACATTTAAATAACAAATACAAAAATTAGCTAAAAATAGAGAAAGTATTTGCTATTTGTTTTTTGACGAACTTCAAACAGTGTTCATAAAAATACAAAATGATTCAAAGAAATGCTTTTCTCTAAAAGGAATAATCTGAAAGTATCACAAAAAAGACAGAGTTATAACTCTGATTTGGATTGGCTGATTGTCCACAGATGATCCCACCCACCTTCAAATTAAACCAGTCCCACCAGTTTTCAACTTTGTCACAGGCGACAGTCATATTAGCTGTTTGCGTTAGCTTCCAATAATTTCTTTTATCTGTTTAGTGGATTAGAGGTTAGTGAACCAAACTGTTTGCTTAGCTGTGCTGCCCTGACGTTATAAATAAGATTTAACAAAAGTTTTACTGACCATCAAAAATAAGTTTTCTTCAGAGACGTAGCCTACTGATTAAAAACACAGTTTTACTCACACATTTGGGTTTTCAGCTTGTTTGGCCCTGAATGTAATGCTTCACTATATTAAATGATTAAAAACTTGGCCTCAGGTGTCCCAGCACTGTCATTACTCTGATATAACTATTCAGAGATGTCCCGGGAGTCAGTTACATGATTGTGTCTGAACGGACCAGCAGGACCCAGGAATTGACAGCTCTCCAGGAATGTTTGCAGAGTGCAACTGTCCCCATTTTTACTAAACCTTAATGACGACGAGTTCCTGAGCTGCTTTGCAAAGTGACCTAAAGTTCGTTTTATGTTGTACAGAACAGATGAAAGATCTTATTCAATTTAATGACATTATGATCTTAAGTGCTGACCTTTCACACATACAGTCATAAGAAGGAGAAAGGAAATTGTGTGCTGCTGAATTTGTATTTAATTGGCTGATCTTTAGAAACTGAGATCATTTCTATGAAAGCAGAAGTTTTGTGAGTTTGCTGCGTTGGAGCTGACACAACGTGTTAACACAACGCTAAGAAGGAAAGACATCAGCAATAGCCTTAGAGAATCAGCTGTTCAGGTTAGAGGTCATTTCCAAACAATTTGGAGTCCGACATTCTACATCAGGGGTGTCAAACTCATTTTCACCGAGGGCCACATGAGCGTGATGGTGGCCCTGAAGGGCCAGTTATAATGAACTTTGACGTTTCATGTTTAACTTTGACTAAAAAGTGTTTTAACGCATCCTCTTTTAAACACTGATAAGAACTAATTATACAACTGACTAAAACTGAAATAAATACAGAAATATTATTTAAAGTAAAACAAATAAAGTTTTACTCAATAGCTGCGTTTCCATTGCAAATGTGCGCAAAGCTGTGTTGATATTCTGTTAATGTCGAAAAAGCACAGTTTTGCAATTGCCTCTTCCTAGAGCAAAACCATTTTGTCGAAAAAAGTAATTTTTTTCTAAATTGACGTGTTTCCATCGAGCAAATTTATCTTCGAAATTCTAATTTGCGCATTTTCATGGTCAATGGAAACGCAGCTACTGATGAGTTTCTAGTGAGTAGCTGTGTTATGGCAGATAGTTTATGGTTGATGGTGACTTTAAAGCAGTTTATTTTCAGACATTAATACTGTGCTATCCAACTAAATTGCTCAGTTACTTCAAGCCAACAGCTCAGGGACAGGAATTTGTCAAATTTATTTTTATTTCATTTATTTTTATTAAATTTATTTTGTTGCATTTAATCATAAATTTAAAGTTTACCATTAACATAAGAAACAAATTTCATGTTATGTAAAATTAAAAAAAAAACATTTTTTTTTGGGAGGGGACCCTCCCCGGCGGGCCACACAGGAGTCATCCGCGGGCCACTTTGGCCCACGGGCCTTGTATTTGACATGTATTCTACATCATTCACAAGTGAAAGACATTTAGGACAGCTGTTGGTCTTGTCTCAATAAATCCACCCCAGTGTCAGACTGTGCAGTGCTCCATCTCACAATCTACAGGCTGTCATTAGTGGGTCAAAGTTCTGTCAAGCACGGTGGTGGAAGTCTGATGATTTAGGCTTGTTTTTCAACCACAGGACCTGAACACCTCACGATCATGAACTCCTCTGCGGACTAAAACACTTTAGGGTCCAAATGTGAGACTGTCTGCCTGACAGATGAAACCGGGTCATGATGCAACAGGACAATGATCCCAAACACAGCAGCAGATCCACAGCAGAACGGCTGAAAAAAGAAAAAAAGAATCAACATGTTGCAGTGATCCAGTCAAAGTCCAGACTTCAGCCTGACTGAAGCGCTGTGATGGGACCATAAATGAGCTGCAAGGAAATGTTTGCAGACGTCAAAGAGTTGAAACAAAGTAAACAAAAACACAATAAGGTCATAAAAATGACTACTGAGGGTCATTGCTGCCAAAAGTGGTTCTCAATGTTTCAGCTTTTCAATTACAACGGAATCTAAAGAGTATTTTTGTACATTTAAATAACTTTAGAGCCAGATAAAGACCAGATACTGTTTATTATTTTCTGATGTGCAACCTTATCTAAAAGTGGGTGGACTTTTTGTCTGTTACTGAATGTACATATTTCTCAGATTTTCTGTTTTCTTTTTTTGCTCCCACAGTGGAATGTAACGAGGAATCAATTCTGATCAAAGACATATTCCGAGGCTACAACAAGAACATTCGTCCAGTGGTTAATCCTGAGGACAAAGTTCAAGTTCAGATCAAGCTGACGCTCACTAATCTTATCTCCCTGGTGAGAGCTGCATTTTTCTGCTTGTTAGAAAACAAATACACAAATAGGATAAGAGCGCATCCCACTGCAATACGGGGCTCATTTATCAAAAGTTTGCACATGTGAAAAGATGATTATCAGTACATGTAAATAACTGGGAGGAGGATATGCAAATGTACAATCATTTAACACTGCAGTGTGGTTTATCAAATATGAAAGTGATTGTGGTTTGCTGTTATTGCATCTAAATTCAGCATGTTTGAAAGGCAGGTGACAACTGGCTGCTCTCTGATTTAGATGCCATTATCTGCTGAAATTAGCACAAACAGAAAGAGCATGTTTGCTGAATGAAGCAGTAAGAAGTGGAAATTATTATAAAAAGGTGGATTTAGCTGAAAAAAGCTTAAACAAGTTGGAATTAGCTAAAAAGTTTTAAAGGCACAGAAAGCAGATGAAGTTAGCAGAATGAAGCTAAGGATGCACAAAAAGCTAAAATCAATCCGAAATTAGCCCAAAGAAGTTAATAAATGAAGAATAAAAGGTGAAAAGTGCTGTAAAGAATCGATGTTKAAGACAGCTCCRTTAATTTTCAATGAGAGAAAAATGGCAGAAAAAAGTTGAATATCTCAAACGGTATCAATTGCTAAAATACCAGAAGTCCTAGCCGGAATGACCTGAAGGAGTTGAATGTTTTAATATATAAACTGATGACGCAGCACAAAAACTGCAGAATGAGATGCATGCCAAAAAACATATGAAAGGAAAGTTGATCTCAATAGTGTGACTGCTTTATCAACATTCGCATAAGAATGGTTGTTTACAAAGACAATAAATGCATGTAAAGGAAACATTCACGATTATTTCTTTAAACTACAGAATGAAAAGGAGGAGACTCTTACAACCAACGTGTGGATTGAGATTGTAAGCTTTTATTCTCTTCATTTCTGACTTGGAGAAAAAAAATTATTTATTTATTTATTTATTTATTTATTTATTTATTTATTTATTTATTTATTTATTTATTTATTTCCCTTTTTTCTACAAATTGAGTCCAAATTTTGTCACTTCTGAACCTTTCACTCATCAATGTCATCAACAGCAATGGTCTGATCATCGCCTCGCCTGGAACGAAACTGAGTATCATGGGATCGGACTGATTCGTGTCCCGTACAACACAGTCTGGCTTCCTGACATAGTCCTGGAGAACAAGTAAGGCCTTTCCAAGCAGAAAGGAATCAGTTCTTGTATGTGAGGGAAAAATAGTGTGACGTCAACTCTCTTTGCTTTTAATCTCGCTTCTCTTCAGCATTGATGGAAAGTTTGACGTTGCTTACTACGCTAACGTGTTGATCTATAGCGATGGTTCGATGTACTGGCTGCCTCCTGCCATCTACCGCAGCACCTGCGCAATTGAAATCACCTACTTCCCCTTCGATTATCAAAAYTGCACTCTGGTATTCAGGTGATCCATGCATAGCTGGAGAAATATCAAGCAGGATCGTTTTTCTTCATCAACTCATTTCTGTTCTTTTCAATCAACGTTACCAAAACCCTTCAGATCCCAGACGTACAGTGCCAACGAGCTGGACCTGATCTTGGCTGTGGAAGAGAAGGAAACTATTGAGTGGGTTCATATTGACCCTGAGGCTTTCACAGGTACAGAATATGCACACAGGCTTAAGTACTTTTTCTCCAGTTGATTACATTTTCATCCAACAGAGAATGGGGAGTGGGCCATTGTCCATCGCCCGGCCAGGAAGATGTTCAACAAGCAGTATACTCCAGACGACCTGGAGTACCAGGAGATCATGTTCAATCTGGTTATCCAAAGGAAGCCACTGTTCTACATCATCAACGTCATCTTGCCCTGCTCCCTCATCTCCTCGTTGGTTGTACTGGCCTATTTCCTCCCTGCACAAGGTCCGTAGTCATCATCAGCCAACTTATTATTGACATACAAAACTGTGATGCTTCAAACCAARAGCATGCTGGGTACATGTTTTCAAATCTGAATCTACACGCAGAGGAAGTTAATAAGCCTTACTGATTTAACCAGCAATTATAACATAAATTAACATAGCTAACCAAAAAGGTAGCATGGCTAACTCTTAATCCGCTAACTAAAAATGTAGCTTTGCTTACACTAAACCATTAAACATGTAAAAGATTATCGAAAAGGAAAGCTAAAGAGCTTAACTAGAAAAATCCACTCATGATGTCATGTATTTACTTACAAGATGGGCACTCTCACAGATGATCAGACTAGTCAGTGGATTGTACAGAGATTCGGTGTTAATGCTGTAACAGAACAAGATGTTTCTAGAGCAAATTTTGACAAACTTGACTTCAGGAAAGACTTGGAAAGTGAGCATAATTGTTAAAATTAAGGTTGGTGGTTTGACAGGTTTCTTCTCAGCTTACCGCCTTCGCGTGTGTGTATTTTTATCACTCAAGCCACGGCTTTAGCATTGTTTAAAGCAGGGGTTCTCAAATGTTTTGGGTCTGGGGACCCCTTACAAGGGTGAAACCTTTCCAGGTACCCCCTCATAAACCCCATGCTGTTAATGCAAAATAGTTTACTGTTATTTTAACCCCTAAATGCCATGGTAATATTATTTTTTTTGTTTGGTTTAATATGTTTGTTTTACTAGTGCATTATTCCCCATATGCATTTTTTAAAATAAAAACCAAATGAACAATTTATCGAAATTTTTTGGAGGACCCCCAAGACAGGGCTTGTGGACCCCTGGGGGTTTGAGAACATCTGGTTTAAAGAAACTTAACAGTGATGTTTATATTTGTGTAAATAGTAATATTATCACAGTATGTGTGACTGTGTGCAGTAGAATGTGTGCCGCTATAGCAGAATGGATACAACAAAAGTAAACCAGTACAGCAAAAAATCACAATATTTATTGTGTCTGTTTAGGGACAGAAAGTGTAAGGTCGGGATCAGGGTGGTCCTGTGTTGGTCCTTTACATCCAATAAAATGTTTGGATCAGACATAAGTCTACAGTTGCCCTTTTTCTGGTAAAATTCAGCTCATCCCATTATTGAATCCAGCTGTAAGCTAGCATCTTAGCTTGGGAAAAGTGACAAAAAATACTCCTTTCTTGATGGCTGTCAATCACTGTTACAAGTACCATAGGAAAAAATCAGTGGTGTGCATAGCTAACCAAAATGTTAGCTTTGCACAATCCACAAACTAAAATATAGCTTTGCCAATGCAGAAACCAGTTAGAACTACAGTATATAACTAGATTGTTTGAAAAAATAAGTTGCAATGTTTGTGTTTATTTTTATTTAATTTCATTTAGAAATTTATTCATTTCATTTGTAATAATATGTACACAACAAAGAATTAAAAAAAAAACAGGCAATCAAAATAAAATCAAATAAAATGAAAGGCAGCAGAAGAAGAATTTAAAGATTTATTTAAAGATCCTATTGATTTTACAGAGTATTATCCAGCAATGCATTCTGTAAATGCTGCCCATCACCTTATAACAGTCAATTTGATGTGTTCTAGTGTCTCCTAAGTCTTTGCTGTCCCCTCACAGCTGGAGGACAAAAGTTGACTGTGTCCATCTCTGTCTTGCTGGCTCAAACTGTCTTCCTCTTCCTCATTGCTCAGAAGGTGCCTGAGACTTCCCTCTCTGTCCCTCTGATCGGCAAGTGAGTCTGAGCGTCATCTTTTAATGTCTCCTGCTCGGTCCAAACAGTCTCCTGTCTAACGCAGATGTCCTCCGATGTTCTCTTACAGGTATCTGATCTTTGTCATGAGTGTCACCACTCTCATTGCCACCAATCAGATTGTGGTGCTGAACTTCTCGCTGCGCAGCCCGAGCACTCACATCATGTCCCACAGCATCAAGCATGTAAGCCATAGGGACAAAAATGTCTGATTGCTAGTTAATATGTTGGGAACTGATGAGTTTTATTTCTGTTGTAGTTGTTCTTAGAAATGGTGCCTCGCTTCTTGGGTATGTCCCCACTGATAGATGACAGCGAGGTAACGGCGGAGGTAAACGGCGTGAGGGAGCGGCGGCGCAGCTCGTTCGGCCTCATGCAGCGAGCTGAGGAATATGTGCTGAAACAGCCTCGCAGTGAAATGCTGTTCGACAAACAGAGGGAGAGACATGGACTCACTCAGTCCATCGGTGAGACTGATGCAAACCCCCATAAMCAAACGTCTTGACAAAGTTATCAGTAGTCAGCATCTTACCTGCAGTAGAACGCATTCAGAATGATCCCAGTTTACTGCTCCAAAGTTTTTTTTGACAGCTTCATAACTCCATTCTCAATAATTTCATTGCAGTTCATTTAATATATTTTTGCACCTCATTTTTGTGTGAAGCAATCATTAGCATAAAAGTTTGAAGTTATTCAAAACAATATCTTTATTAAAATATTTTGAACAGAGTTATGTCACAGCCCCACTTCTAATCTAACTACAACCCAAGGCTGTCTTAATTACTGCAAAGTTTTGGGTGCCTTTTTTGTTGTTTCTTGTAGATGAAGACATTTCTTGAAACAGGATCATGTTTACAAGGGTATTTTTTAGTGTAAAGTATATTTTTTGTGAATAATTACCTAAGTCACCGTGACTAAGGTTGATAAAGTTGTTTTTAAATGAACAACTTAAAGATTAGGACTGTTGTGAAAAGGTGGATGGATTAGACCCATAGTTGGGCAACCAGAGAACAAATGCAGGAGCAAACTACAAACTTTGTTGACTAAATAAAAAAAAGAATAAACAGGAAATCCAGTAAAGCAGTGAAACAAACTGACAAAGAACACAGAAATAACAATGAGATAATCAAGGGGATAAACACTGGGGTGTATGATTGCTGAGTGAAAATGGGTGGGCTGGGAACAGATGGAGAACAGGTGTTTAGAGCTAAAACAAGAACATCTCATTCAGGGGCCACCACCCTTTTTGAGAGCAGGGATACAGAGGAACCTGTGATAGACTGGAGAAAGGCTCCGGCCTCCACCCTGACCCTGATTAGGAACAAGAAGGACATAATGGATGGATATTTTTTCTCTATAGTTAAAAACTGTTGAAAACATAAACATTATTTTTATGTTAATCTCAATCAGTGCCATTTACATTTCAGAGCATTTTGTAAATATATTTGATACTGTTTGTAGATTTGTAACATTTATTCTAAACACACTTGTTCCTAATTAATCACCAACTTCTGTAACGTCTTCAGTCTGAGTTCACCTGAAACTCCTCAAACAGAAGAAGTCTCTTGGAGGAGAGACTAAACATTTCATTAAAGAAGAACCTGTCCATTGGGCCTACTTAATTYTTTTATTAGTAAAATATTCAAATATACAAATTCTTCCAAATCACAGTAAAAATCCTTTGTTTTCCTACCTTTTAATTCCTGTTTCCCCTCTACTCTGGGAGGTCATTTATTTGCCCCTGTAGGTAACTCAAATTGTCCTTATGAGGACCCCTTACCTAATAGTTATGAATAAAATAAAGACAAAACATCAGAACCTGACTGAATGACTATAATCCTTCTGAATACCAAACATAAAATAAASTCAACAGGTGTTTAGATGTCTGTTAGATTTTACACTGAAATTTCTTTCTGTAGTCAAACTGAGATTGTTGAGATTGCTATCTACTGCAGGTAAGATACTAACTGCTGAAAACAAACAAAAAACTTAAAACATGCTGTTTTGTTTGTTTTCTGCTTTCTGCATACAGTATCTAACAGGTAGTGTCTTCTTCTTCGGTAGTAAACAACATAGATGTCAGCAGCACTGCCAACCTGTATAAAAGTTTGGCCCAGGCTGCGCCAGAGATCAAGCAGTGTGTGGACGCCTGCAACTTCATCGCTGAGAGCAAAAGACAGCAAAATGACATTGGATCTGTAAGTGTTTCTTTTTACAAGGTGGTGATAAGCTAACAGTTGCTCTTTGATCCCAAACCCTCGATCTCTTTATTTTCAAAGGAAATTGAAAGCTGGGTACTGATTGGGAAGATGATCGACAAGGTGTGTTTCTGGGGTGCCATTCTCCTCTTCATCGTTGGCAGTGTGGGAATCTTCCTAACGGGACACTTCAACCGAGCGCCAGAGTTTCCATTTCAAGGAGACAGCAAAAAATATATCCCAACTGTACCGTAGTTGATTAAAAACACAAAATAAATTCATTTAAAAGAAGGTTCTTGCCACCGTTGAAACATTTATGAGTTTCACCAAACCTCGTGCTGTTTACGTGGAAACAGTTCAGCTTGTGAACTCCCCCAGACTGAGATCCAGGGTTCAGTTAAGTCTGGTGAATGGACTTATCTTCATAAAACCCTTGTTAGGMAGCTGAGCGTTTCGATTTAAACTTCAACTTCAAACCTGAAGGGATGTTTTAACTGAATAAAACACTGAACAAATATGGTTCATTGTAGTTTAAACTTAAAAGAAAAAGAAAAAAAGATGATGTTATTATGTGCATATTGTGTAACTGTTTGAAAAAGCTCGCCATTAACTAAATAGATATTTTTGTTTAATTCTAAAGCTGCAAATCTCAAGATTTTTAGGAAACATGCAGACTGAAAAATACTAGTCTACATAGTTTACTGTCTTAAAAATATTATTTACAAGAGCCAGTCACTCTGAATAAAAGCCTTACATTTCTTACAGTTTTATGATTTGATTTTTTATTAAATAGATCAGTAAGTTATTGTTTTGAGATCAATAAAAAACTGTATTTTATCCATATGTTCAATAAGTAAAATTATAAGGATAAGTTACACCAAATGGTAAGTGTTTTGTGGTTTCTTTGCATAATTTATTTTCTTTTGTTGTTGTTATTTCTTTTTAATTATAGAGAAACTTGTGTTGTCCAGATTCCACCTGACAACAGGGTGTTAGGCGATRATTGTTTTGATTTTATAAATTGTTTAATTTTGTTTTGTAAGCTTGGTTAGTTTTTAAAAACAACAACAAAAAGAGCAAACATTTTTGTGTATTTAAAATGGTTATACTGAGGTCATTTCCAGGCAATTAATGGATAAAACTTAAGAATAATCAGATAAAATTAGTTTGTGATATTATTCACAATTGTGCTTTCATGAAGACAGTGCAGTTTTTTGTTGTAAGTGCAATAAAATGATTTTCTTTCAAATGTAAAATAAACCTAATTCTTTCTTCTTCTGTTACCTTTTTTGTTTTGTTTTGTTGTTTTGTTTTGTTACCCATCTTTGATACAGGCATAGACTTGAATAACAAAAACACTGTTATACAGTATATACCTCCATGGATACGAGGTGAAAGCGACATCATGTGGTGAGCTGTTGTACTACACCAAGTTACATTCTACTACTAAAGGAATTAGAGCAGAAAGTACTTCCGGTGTGGCGAAAATATTGGAAATTCAAACAATATTATTTTATAAAACAAGATAGTTTAACACACACACACACACACACACACACACACAC